CCCCCCCCCTCCGCCGCTCCCCCTTCCTCCGCACTTCCCGCTCGAGGAGACAGTTCCTGTGGAAAAACTGGAAAATCTTACGGAAAACTGAGAAAAATGGAAAGGTGGGAAGTTGGGAAGATGGCAACTAGGACTCGACGAACAGCCTTGTACGATTTCGCGACAAAAAGTTGTAAGGGAGGGGAACTATAGCGCAATATAGGTTCAGTGGCGCCCCTTTTTTCCAGTGACTCCACTTCCAGACTCCGCCTTTTAGTGAAAACGAAGTTCCCGGGCGAAAAGGCATGAAAATGTACGGTCGTAGAGTTCTTATCAGGGAATCAGCTGTGGGGATGAGGGCGTAGTACTGGAAATGGAATTCACGGAGCACGTACAAACTGAGATCGAAATGGGGTCCTATCTAGAGCAATTGGCATGTTTTTTTGCAGCGTGTTCTTCACTATCGAGCAGATCAGAACCTTGTCTCTACATGCGAACCCCTAATCCACTATCTGTGATGGGGAATGATCGCGGGTTTTTGTACTTCAGAAATTTCTCAAATAAAAAAGTGGTGTCGCCCATAGCGAACATGACTCCCTTTGCAACGGGGTTATAGAATTTTGAAAGAGGACTGAGAACTGAATGAACCTAGAAAATATGATATAAGTCCTGGGAGGTAGTGAGTCCAGCAGAGTGTCCGGGTAGGCTTGTGTACGCTTCCAAAGACTGCTATATACCACTGAGACCAAAGAAGCAAAAAAGCAATAATTTATAACCCCATAACCCGAAATTACTCGTGGAAGCCGCGCAATTCGAGGAGGCGCTTTCATCGCACCCCGCCATCACGACTCTTACGAAATTATGTTCATATTGGCGTTTATTACTTTTTTCATGGGTCTTCACGAAATCATGTTCATATTAGGCGTTATTACTCTTTTTTCATGGGGATGATTGCCGTCTTTCTTGATTAATAAACTTTTTGTTAATATCCTCTCATATTGTTTCCAAACATTTCTCTGAGCTCTGAGCCTACGTCAAATTCTAGGAATTTGGTGTTAATACACTATGCGCCCAGCAGGCCGGTAAGACCAAAAGCGAGAGTCTTCCTTGATGGCGATGCGAGCGATATTCGGTCAGGCCTATTGACAAATGCGATGTAGAGAGATGACAACTCGGAAAAAAGCAAAAAAAATCCGTTTGATAAAAATGCCCAAGAAGACTTGACTGAGCAGATGTTACGTAAATACACGAAGGGTAGCCGTGTAATTGCACAACGCGGGCAATTACCGTAATCCAAGAACTGTTTTCATTCGCCCATGGAGCGCATTATGGCAACCTATGTTGGTCATTACGTAGGCAAATAATGACCAACATAGTGTACCTCAAATATTGAATGGATCCTACGCTACAATCGCTTCCAAGGAACCACTCCATGCTTCTTCTGCTTGTGAAACACTTCTATCCCTTCCGTGAAAACGGCGGAGTCTGTGCGACTTCACTTCGGCAGGTGCGGACTAATATGAGAGGTTGTTTTACTAAGTATCTCATCAGCCCGCTTTCACTGACATCATAGGTATCCTACTTGTCTTCATCGGATATTAAACAAGCGAGGCAACGATGAAATGCATACTTTAACCAGTTGACCCTCACTTCCCCGCACCTTGGTCGTGCGGCACCTATGTTCTTGGAGGGTTATACATGGATTTTCACTCCAATTCATTTTGTATATTGGATTGGAGAAGGCACTTGAATTCTCCTCCGCTACTATGAGGTATCAGCCTGGAACAGACCTACAGTCTTGCGGCGCTTTCCTCATCTTGCGAGGTCTCGATTTCCTGTGTGGTCTTCAGTTTGGATGCGATTTTACCTTGCGGCCCCAGTGAAGAGAAGGATCACTACCGTAGACACCCATTCAGGTGCTGCTCTTGCGCTTCTCGCTTCCAAAAGAAGCCACAACGCTATTCCGCTTCGAGCGAAGGCAGCCATCTCAGCGCTATGTGATCAAGCATTGTATTTTTGCGACACGCCGCGCCACCGCCGTCTAGAGTAGTGAAAGGATAGTAGGAGACATCACTGAAATGGCCGTTGGCGACCGGCCACCACAACTGCCAAAGCCTAGAGTTAAGCTGGCTTGATGTGAGGTGTAGGGCAGCTCTGAGGTGCCGTAGCACGCACCGCAATCTCACGATGCTCAACCAGCTGTGCTAACCTCCTGCCATAATCTCCACTCTTGGACCCTGTTGTGCGCTGGTTCGCCACATACTTCAAGATCGCTAGTGTTCGCTGGCCACGTTGGTGGAGCTAGTGGTCGCTGGTGATTGAATGGATGTGACTTCATGTTCAGGAAGTCGAACTACGCCTAGAGACCTACTTTTATACAAATCGAAGACGCAACTTCAACTTCGAAAACTGCGCAGGAAAGGATAAATTGCTCCAAAAATTGCAGAGACGAGAAGCATTGGTCATTTTTCGATCTACTCCCGAAATCCTGTACATCTTCGAACTAATGCGCTTAATTCGTTTCGTCAACCCAACAATTCATTATTTCTTCAATTCTTCACCGATAAGTGAAAAGAGCCGTACCGACAGTTACCAAAGTAGAAGCAGTACGGAATGTTTCCTTGAAAGCTATCTTGATCAAGAACCCTTATACACGTAAAATGACCCAACCTATAACACCTCAGTTGCACTCCATGGCGAAAGCAAACACTTTTGGGGTTACGGTGATCGCCCGCGGTGTGCAATTACACGGCTACCCTTCGTGTATTTACGTAACATCGATGTACAGTATTGGAAAATGGACGAGTTAACCAAACTTTGGGCGGGTCCTCTGAATCTGATCGCCACTTGCTGCGACTCATTCTCTAAGACATATTTTGTAAGGTTAGCAATTATCACCGCTAAGAATCTTGGTAATGAAAAAATAACCGAGGTGGGAAATTATTGACTCCGCCTATAGCTTATCGTTGCTGTCTGTCCGTGCCTTCGCTTTTAGAGCCCCCGAGAAGGATATTCGCTTGACACGAAGCCCCGCCATCTTGTACTCTGAAGGATGATCGCGCGGCGCGTGTTCCTTTACTAAAACTTCAATGTCCGAGTGACCACTGAGTATAAGAGCCCACCTCTAAAATGGCCCCATCACCAGTCCGCCTTTTTCACCGGTTCTGCGGAAAAGAAAGAGCGCGTTGGCCGTTGTTCCGTTACGATGATGCATTGAACGAACTCGCCCACCTCTCAAAAACAACGGGCAAAATAAGCCTCATTTCGCTGGTTTCTGACTTCTTCGTTTCGATTTTTTCCGTTCACGAACAATTCAGCACCCTCACTTTCATTTGTTCCCCGACCGATTTGCCAGTGCTCTTGAACAAAACCAGCGCCTAGTCTCATTGTAAGTAGAACAGGAACGGATTGGCATCATGTTCCAGAAACTGAACAAAATTCTTGCTGAAAAATACCTTCTTTGGGCAACTGAACGTTGTTGTGCTTGGAGGGTGCTACCCGGATCACTCGATCGTGCCATCGGATTTTGTCCAAATGCTGCATGGCTGTAAAAATAAAAACGTAATAGTGCTGAAACACGAGCACACGAAAACCAATATCATATGGAGTACGGATTGAATGCACATTCCGCAGTAACCGAATGGGCGGAGGTCAACAACCACTGCGACTTTCTCGCTGGCACCCCCTTCTTACCTTCTAAGAGTACGCAGCAATGAGGAATGCAGCGGTTGCGAGCTCCCGCCCATCCAAGGCACGTCGTACGTTTGGGACCCCCACTGAGACAGTCGTATTTGGCCATGATGGGAAGGGAGTCGCAGTTGCGGAAAACGTTATGACTTCCTCGGTCTTTTTTTTCAAGTGCGCTGCATCCCCTTCCCAGGCCCCTTCCCCTACGCACAGCTCGGCGGTTTCTTTTCGGGGAAAGCGTGGTAGAAAGTTAGGGGATTCTAGGAAGACGGTAGGCAGGACGGTAGATGGGGGACAAGAGCAATGGCAGAATGTGCCCTGCACCCATCTACCGGTTATCGTGGAATGTGCCTTAGAGAACGACAGTAACGGAAGATGTCTCCCTATGGCAGTGGGACGAGAGTATATTTGTTAGGCTGGCGGGAAAGTTCTGTCACATTTTTCAAATAGGCTTTCTTTTTATAGAGAGGCGTGTAAGATCAAAATTGTACAGCAATGTTACTGCGGGGTTGCCAGTTTTTGAGCACCTCATGGATGCCATCGCTTCACAATGCAGGGAGGCGCGACGCAAAGTTGACACATCTCATTTTGACGTGAGCTCAGGGTGGAATTTTCGTCGTAGTGTGGAGGCCATACTTGCAGTTAGAATGGAGGCAAGTCTCTGCTACTACCGGTTCAGAGATAGCTCATCCAGCTCTATTGCATGAGGTACGGCTCAAAGTTTTTTGGAAGGAGTGTGCTGCACTATCATGATGACGGCGGGCTGTGCGGACAGGGAGGCGGGCAAGAAAATTCGTAATCGGCGCACGCCGCGTTTTTTCTTAAACGCCATACTACCTGGAACCATCGTCATTTGCAGGCGCAACGTCGCACGCGACGCGCACCAGCGCGGTGAATCACGATTCTCTTGTCATATACCCGTGCGGACAAATTTTTCTCTCTGATCGACGGTAC